TGTGCCATGTCAGTATTGCACATTTACAAAAATCTAATGAACAATTGCTAAATTCACAATTCCATTAGGATTCTTTAAACTACCTGTATATGACAAGTGTATAAAAACAGGATAAAACTTATTGAAAGATTTTTCTATCTTTAGAAGTCTTCCTTTCAACTGCTCTCACCCAACCAGCTAAGTCAAAATATTATTCTACAGCAGAAAATCCTTCACAGTGCAATTTATCCCAAGGAAGTCCTCGGAGATGTTTGAGCAACAAGGGAGTCAAACTGCTGTAGGAACAAGAATTACAGTGCTGGAAACCTCCAGAAGGAGCCTAAAGCCTGCAGGCTCAGCCCCCAGGCTGCTCTGGAGAGGCAGTGCCAAGATTGTGTCCTCCCACAGCAAGCACAATATTCCCTGCAGTTGATGTGTCTAAATCATCTTCCATTTTGAGACAAGTGATATCCATCAGCTCCTGTGCTGGCATCCTGATTGATGTCCTACACAATCCTGGCATCTGCTGCTCTTTGGGAAATAATGGAAGATCACATGAGAGAAAATGGCATTTCTCAAGGGTAGGAGCTGCCCTTCTGTCTCAGGTGTGTGTGCTGTGTGAACACCAACAAATGATGATGACCAAACTCCCCTAGTACAGCTCCTCAAGAAATCCCTCCAGCAATGGAGCATATCCCATAATACCACAGCATATTTTAATGGGTCTTCTTCAAGAATGGTGTTTATCCTTCTTTTCAAGAAGCCCAAAATTCCACATTATAATGGATAATAATTCACAACACAGTGATGAAATTCAACAATTTTGATTCTCTCAAAATGGGTCTTGGCTGTCAGAAGTTCAGAATATACAGAATTAAGAGACTGTTTCTTTTTCACAATAATCAAATACAATTACAAGCCACCTTGTACTTTCTCTGATGTCCCAGGCTGCCACCAAAATGCAATGTTTGAATTTTTTTTAAAACTACACAAATTTGGCATCTACTCACCTATATAAAAATTAATCTGAAAAGCAGAAAGTGAGATGGATTAAATGTTTTACATCACTGGTGATATATCAGCCTTATGTATTATCCACTCCTGAAGGAAGAAACTACTGAGCCTTATCTCTCAATCCTACAACAACACTTGCTCACACAACTGTGCTCTCCCTGCAAAGACACCCCTGGGCTTTAGAGAGAATTTGTCTGGGAATGCTCTGAAATGTTTCCCCCTCTCTACACTGCTTCTGAAGGCACTCACAGTAAGTGAGGTCTCCCTTAATGCATCCCCTGCCAGAGGATCCTGGGACAGGCACTGTAGACAGGAGAGAGCAGTGAAGTTAAATAGCAAACAGTTCAAGGATTTTGAGAATTGCTGCCTCCCTGATTTTGGTCAGTTTTAGGGGAAGGGAAAACCCCACCACCTGACACTGGAATAAACATCATATTTTGCACCCACAGACAAGTTTTCCCAAGAGATGAAAGTTCAGGGTACCATGTCTCACAAGCAATTTGAGTAATTTTTAACAAATTCAATTTCCCAAGATATTATAATCTTGGTGTTATGCACAAAAATTTCTAAACTATAGTTAATGTTATAGTAGTCATCCACAAATGAAGGGTTGGGGCTTTTTCTCTTAACAGTTTACATTTTCACAGTTGTGTGATCATTTAAAAAAAGAAAAAAAAGTACCAAAACATTTGAAATCTTTAAACAATCTTTTTCATTTTATAAATGGAAACTGTCACCTGAAAATCACTGACCTTTTCTAATTTTTCAAAGTGTTCTCTGAGGAACTTCATGGGTCGGTCTGGCTTTGCTATACAGAGGTTTACAATGCATTCTTTTAGAATCTGTTGGATGTTGTGTTTCTGAACATAGAGTTCACATCCCTTCAGGCTCTCGTCTTCTTCCACATTGCAGGAAGCAGCAGCAGCCATCTTCAGGCTTGTAAACAGAAAACACAACCTAGGTAAGAAAATGGTGCAAGAAAGAGATAAGAGACAGATCCCAAATTCCTTGTCAGAGAGATATGAAGAGCAAAGACATTTGAATATTGCCTGTTGCCTATTGAGGACCTATTCAATCCGAACGTTTTAATACTCTGGGGTTGTACATGGAAATGCTGAACTGTGTCATTTCTGTACCATCAACATCCCACCAAGTACACAAACAGGATTTAAACTCCTAGATTGTGATCAATCTTTGAAAAAAACCACACAAACCGGTGAAATTAACCTACGAGGCAAGGAGTTTCAAAAGCACTCTTAAATGACGGCATGATGCCTTGCTTCGCTGTCCCCGTGGGGACTCACTCCTGTCACCAGAAGCCCAGCTTCTTGCTACAGAGATTTTCAGGCAATTTTAGCATCTCTCCCTTCCCCATTCACGGACCCTTGGCTGCCTTGGGAAAGCAGGGGGGGGAGGGGGCAGAGCCCCCTGAAGTGAAGTGAATTCCCCAAAGAGAACTTTGGTGACCTGGGGGGAGAACAGCCCCAAACCCTCTTTATTTCCCCCAGCGGGGTTATGACCGCGCCGTTACGAGCTCAGAACGCCGGGGCAGCTTTACCACCGGGTCTGTGGGTGCGGGGGCCGGCCGGGGCTGTGCGG